TATAACTAGACTATGGAACTCATGATCACAGGATGCTGAAACCAAGATCTTCCCAAGATTTAGAAGGAACCAAATGTTTACAGGGACAAGAACAACCAAAGTTGTTAATATATAAAGAAAAATATTGGAAAAATATTGGAAATGATAGAAAACCTTATGCTTCAAGCCTTAAAACTGTTTTGTTAGGAATTATCATGAGCAGGGATGTAACAGTTTAAATGGTTAACGGATAAGCATAATCTTATTGGTTACCGTAAAGGTTACACACTGGCTCCTGGACCCACTCCTGGGGAGCCAGCTACCACCCTGCACCATGTAACAGCTAAGATTTTTCATGGTTACCTAATTAACTGCTTTTTAACATCCCTAATCATGATCCCTAATATATTGTGCTCAGTGTATGAGACAATGGTGTAGGGAGGAGGACATTAATGTGTGGATGAGATGATGGTATAGGGAGGAAGAGTTTAGTTTTATAAGGAACTGGCGAACCTTTTGGGATAGAGAGCGCCTATACAGGAAGGATGGACTGCACCTAAACCAAAGGGGATGCAGACTGCTGGCACTTAACATTAAAAAGGTTGCAGAGCAGTTTTTAAACTAAGAGATGGGGGAAAGCCGATTGGTGCAGAGGAGCACGTGGATTGGACAGAGACTTCTCTTAGAGGAGAGTCTGTTAGTAGAGATTCTCTAGGTTTTAGTCAGAAGGAGAGAATGGAAGAGGATAAAGTATGGGCCAAATCAGACGAGAAACATTCACATATAAAAGAATGACACATCAGAAAAGGGCAGACAAATAATCAGTGACAAGTTTTTAAAGTGTTTGGACACAAGTGCTGGAAGTCTAAATAATAAGATGGGTGAACTAGAGTGCCTCGTATTGAAGGAGGATATTAGTATAAAAGGCATCACAGAAACCTGGTGAAACGAGGACAATCAATGGGGGACAATCGTACCGGAGTACAAAATATATGGGAAGGACAGAACAGGTTGTGTGGGTTGGGGATTGGCACTATATGTGAAAGAAAATGTAGAATCAAATGAAGTAAAAATCTTAAATGAATCAAAACGTTTCATAAAATCTCCATGGATAGTAATTCCATGCTCTACTAAGAATATAGCACTAGAGATAGATTATCAGCCACCTGACCAGGACAGTTATAGTGACTATGAAATGCTAAGGGAGATTAGAGAGGCTATCAAAATAAAAAAAATAATAGTAGGGGATTTCAGTTATCCCCATATTGACTGGGTACATGTCACTTCAGGATGAAATGCAAAGATAAAATGTCTCGATACTGCTTCTTGAAGCAGCTGGTACAGGAACCCACAAGGGAAGAGGCAATTCTCGATTTAGTCCTGAGTGAAGTGCAGGATCTGGTCCAAGAGGTAACTATAACAGGACCGCTGGGAAATAGTGACCATAATATAACAACATTTAACATTCCTGTGGTGGGAAGAACACCTCAGCAGCCCAACAGTGTGGCATTTAATTTCAGAAAGGGGATCTCTGCAAAAATTAGGAGGTTAAACAGAAATTAAAAGCTACAGTGACAAAAGTAAAATCCCTGCAAGCTGCATGGAAACTTTTCAAAGACACCATAATAGAGGCCCAACTTAAATGTATACTCCAAATTAAAAAACACAGTAAAAGAACTAAAAAAGAACCACTGTGGCTTAACAATTATGTGTAAGAAGCAGTGAGAGATAAAAAGGCATCTTTTAAAAAGTGGAAGTCAAATCCTAGTGACTAAAATAGAAAGGAGCATAAACACTGCCAAATTAGGTGTAAACATGTAATAAGAAAAGCCAAAAAGGAGTTGGAAGAACAGCTAGCCAAAAACTCAAAGTAATAAAATATTTAAGTACTTCAGAAGTAGTAAACTACCAGTGGGGCCCCTGGACGATTGAGATACAAAAAGATCCCTTAAAGACGATAAAGTCATTGCGGAGAAACTAAATGAATTATTTGCTTCAGTCTACACGGCTGAGGATGTTAGATTCCCAAATCCGAGCTGTCCTTTGTAGGTGACAAATCTGAAGAATTGTCACAGATTGAAGTGTCATTAGAGGAGGTTTTGGAATTGATAAACTTAACAGTAACAAGTCACTGGTGCCAGATGGCATTCACCTAAGAGTTCAACTCAAATTGAAATTGCAGAACAACTAACTATGGCTTGTAACCTGTCCTTTAAATCAGCTTCTGTACCCAATGACTGGAAGATAGCTAATGTAACACCAATATTTAAAAAGGGCTCTAGAGGCGATACTGGCCATTACAGACCAATTAATCTAACATAAGAACCGGGCAAATTAGTTGAAACAATAGTAAAGAATAAAATTGTCAGACACATAGAAGAACATAATTTGTTGGGCAAAAGTCAACATGGTTTCTGTAAAGGGAAATCATGTCTTACTAATCTATTAGAGTTCTTTGAAAGGGTCAACAGACATGCAGACCAGGGGGATCCAGTAGATATAGTATACTTAGATTTTCAGAAAGCCTTTGACAAGGTCCCTCACCAAAGGCTCTTATGTAAATTAAGTTGTCATGGGATAAGAGGGAAGATCCTTTCATGGATTGAAAACTGGTTAAAAGACCGGAAACAAAGGGTAGGAATAAATAGTAAATTTTCAGAATGGAGAGGAGTAACTAGTGGTGTTCCCCAAGGGTCAGTCCTGGGACCAATGCTATTCAACTTATTCATAAATGATCTGGAGAAAGGGTTAAATAGTGAGGTGGCAAAGTTTGCAGATTATACTAAACTACTCAAGATAGTTAAGACCAAAGCAGACTGTGAGGAACTTCAGAAAGATCTCACAAAACTAAGTGATTTGGCAACAAAATGTCAAATGAAATTTAGTGTGGATAAATGTAAAGTAATGCACATTGGGGAAAAATAATCCCAACTATACATACAATATGATGGGGACTCCTTTAGCTACAACTACTCACAAGCGAGATCTTGGAGTCATCGTGAATAGTTCTCTGAAGACGTCCACGCAGTGTGCAGCAGCAGTCAAAAAAGGCAAACAGGATGTTAGGAATCTTTAAAAAAAGGGATAGAGAATCAGACGGAGAATATCTTATTGCCTTTATATAAATCCATGGTACACCCGCATCTTGAATACCGCATACAAATATGGTCTCCTCATCTAAATATATATACACACACACACATATACACACACACACACACACACTGGCATTAGAAAAAGTTCAGAAAAGGGCAATTAAAATGATTAGGGTTTTGGAACAGGTCCCATATGAAGAGAGATTAAAGAGACTAGGACTTTTCATCTTAGAAAAGAGGAGACTAAGGGGGGATATGATAGAGGTATATAAAATCATGAGCGGTATGGCGAAACTGAATAAGGAAAAGTTATTTACTTATTCCCACAATATAAGAACTAGAGGCCACCAAATGAAATTAATGGGCAGCAGCTTTAAAACAAATAAAAGGAAGTTCTTCTTCACACAGCACACAGTCATCCTGTGGAACTCCTTGCCTGAAGAGGCTGTGATGTCTAGGACTATAACAAGGTTTTAAAAGGAGCTTAGAGAAATTCATGGAGGTTAAGTCCATTCATGGCTGTTAGGCAGGACGGGTAAGGAATGGTGTACCTTGCCTTTGTTTGTCAGCGGGTGGAGATGGATGGCAGGGGAGAGATTGCTTGATCATTACCTGTTTGGTTCACTCCCTCTGGGACACCTGGCATTGGCTACTGTCAGCAGACAGGATACTGGGCTGGATGGATCTTTGGTCTGACCCAGTATGGCTGTTCTTATGAGACCTACTTCCCATACCCCATCTGCCTACTGTGGGGTGTCTTGTAAGGACATAATAGTGTAAACAAATAAATGGTTAACCGATGATCCTGTGCTCATCAAGGAGGCAGCAAAGTGTGTGTGTGTGGGGGGGGGGGGGGGGGAGGGTGGCTCCATGGGAGTCGGTACTTGTGGGGAACCAGCTTAGATAATCATTATAAAGCAAATATATTTCTAAATATGCTCCATAA